TTGGATGTGAAAGTGCCAAGTTTGGATCTATGAACAAAAATGAAAAGTGCACTGCTCACTCTCTAATCTTGGGAGCTGGGGGCTGTACAATGAAAGGGCTCTATCAGGAGCTATGTATTCTTTGTTGATAAAAATTTATTATTTTTTTTCATGTGAAATACTGTTTCAAACAAATAATTCTCTCCCCATCAATGTGAGCACTCTAATAAGAACCACATTAGAGAATAGCATTTGAAAAAATATATATAAGCCAATTTCTTCTAAGTAGAAGAAAGAAGTTCCCACAACAGGAAGACTTTTTCTTTGTAAGCAACATGAGTTGGTTTCTTGAACACACAATCTTTTCCAGGTTTGGGGTGTTATGTCTTTTTAAATATTGAATTCTTTTTTTTTTTTTTAATCAACTAGCTCCTTAAAATGATCTGCAAAGAGTGGGAAATTAGATTTTCGATTAAAACCTTATCCCATCTCGAAGGATTACTTTATATTGATTCTTAAATATGGCTACAATTGATGGGCTCTAATTAAAAATCCAAAGAGAAAGTCTGTCATGCCCATATAAAAGAAGCTTTTCATATACGGGAAATAAAGCTTGTAAAAGGTTACAAATAAAAGATTAGAGTTTTATCCAAACTAGTTTAAAGCTTCACTGTGGTTTTCTTTTCTTCTTTTCCTTTCTTACAAAACCATTCCTGGGTCTTTTCCCCCCAGTTTTAAATGAAGTTTGCAAACAGGCAAGATATTGGACTGTAATGGTTGTTTTATATCAGCTCTGTAAGCCCAAGGCTGCTGCCTGCAGTAGAATTGATTTCAAGGAAACTTCAGCACCAGCAGATGAAAATTATGTAAACTGACAGCCACCACCCTTTATCAATCCATCCACATTCCCAACATACACACACACACACACACACACACACACACACTCACACAAGCCCTTCCTATCCTTATCCTAACCCTGCTCAGCACACACCCTTAGTCCCCACACTTCCTCAGACAAGCGCATAGCTCCTCGTGCACACTCAGCTCATAAATGTCTCACAGCCCACATCTCGCACTTGTCACACAGTCTTAATCCGTTTCATTCCGGAACAACATGGTCCTCTTTTCCTCTTTTTTTCATTTGGAGTTTGCCTCCTACTCTTTTATCAAGACAGCACAATCCTATCTTTGAAGTTGTTTCTCCTTTACCCTCTTTTCTGAGGCAACCCCAATAGAGGGACTGAGTGACCCCAGCTTAATTCATAAGTGATCTGCTGCCTTGTATCCCCCCCAATTCTGCCCATATTATCAATCTTAAATCCTGTTAAAAATTAATCAGAATTAATCTTGGTAAAGTTTTTCATAAAGTCATATCTGAAAACCTAATGAAGAATGACTTCTTTCTAAGTACCATGGTGTTTCTAAGACAAAATGTGGTCCCCCACTGTCCACTGAATTGCTCAAAAGATTTGAAATTAATCTTCATATTTCCAAAGTTGATGTTCAGGGAGTCTAACTGGCTCCTTTCCCCTGAGAGGCTGTGTTCTCCTGGAATATGGATTTTGTTCTTCTTTTTTTTAATTAGCCTGCAAGAATCCTTTGACTGCTCTCTTCTACCCTTCCCCCACCCACCCTCATAGTTAATAAACTTGGAGGAAAGTTTGGAATATTTTAAACTAGCCTGGCATGTGGAAGAGAGAAAAATAAGCCCAGTTGGTGATACATATGAATCTAGATTTCAAAATATGAGTAACAGCCATAATCTGAGAACTGCATGCAAGCTTTGACAAATAATTCCATGCTCTAGGCATTGCTTTTCTTCACTAGCTTCTAAGCCCTTATATCTCATATGCCTAGCAAGGTAATTGTAAACATGGCAATTAAAACCTACCCACTCATTCATGAGAATTCTTTAAAAACACAAAGCATGCTACCATAAGTCAGATTCATAGAAAGAAAATAAAAGCACAGGGGAAAAAAGTTAAACATAGATAAAGGAAATAAAATGAATAGATAGTAAGTACATCGAAGGTTCAAGAACTTACTGAAAATCAAGAGCTAGAAGTTTCCATCCAAGGAGTCTTTTTCTCCCATCAAGCCTCTAAGGTTTTCTGTGAAACAGCCCAGCCCCCCTTCCCCCAAAGCAAGTGGCTTTTGTCCTGACCTAGAGCAGAGTTTGTGGAAACTGTACCTGAGCCGGGCTGTCTGCAATTTCCAAATTGACAAGAAGAGACTGGAAGATAAAGAGCGTGTTCTTACAGGTGAAGAGCAATTTTGCAACTTTTCCAGGCGACACCCAGGAGAAACCTTGCCTGCTACCAACTGCTGGAGAGTCTGGGCAGAATTCCTCTAGAAAGAAAAAGAAAGTCTTTTTCCGCCCCCCTTCTGTCCCTTGCCTGCATCTCTCTGTCTCTAGTTCTTTCTCCTCTGTCTCTGTCTCTGTCTCTCTCTCTCTCTCAGATCCAATCTTTTAAGAGCTGCAGCACATTGCTAAGCTAAAGGGAAATTCTCTTTGATAAAGCGGTATTTCCAGCTTCGGGGTTTTAAAACCTAAATCTATATTCAAATCTGGCTGAAGGTGTGTTCTGGGATTTATGAAAGCCTCTTAAAGGGGTAAATTTACCAAACCGTGACAAAATCATCACAATCTTACTTTAGACATCTGAAGTGGATGAGAATTTTAAAGAGACCCTTGTTTATTTAACACTGTCCATTTCAAACTCCTGGTTTATTGGCCGGGTATTTCTGCGAAGTTATCCGACTGGAGCGCAAAGGAGAAGCGGGGACTTTGGCTGCCAGCCGCAGACGGCCAAAGCCCTCCCACGCCGCATCCCTCAGAAATCCGCCCCTGTCGAATAGCACTCCGGAATTTTCAGGGAGGTTCGGCCACTCCGGGTCACCTCGGACGACATCCCCAAACCTCTACTTCGGACTTGAGGGGTTTCCCACGGCTCTGGACCCTACTGCCGACGGATCGCTCACTCTATTTTTTTTTTTTTTAATTTACTTGGAAGACCTCACAAGCCCTCGCTCTGTTTCTCTACCTCACCCCACCCCCACTGTCCCCAAGGCCTCGCTCCGCCAGATCCACAATGTTCATTTTTCTTTTTCGCTCTTTGATGCTTTCAGCATCTTTATGATCAAACTGGGGCGAGAATTCTTTTCTCGGGGTGGGAAGGAAAATCTTCAAGTGATTCGAGTGGATTTGCCCTTCCTTCATCTAAATATCGAGACTTGGACCAAGAGCCCCCGACCAGCCCTTCAACAGCCCGCACCAGGCGGGACAACCGCCTGGGGCATTTGTGCCCCTTTCCCTTCCCAAATGAAAGGCCTTGGGGACAGTCGCCAGGTGTTTCAGCATTGTGGGGGCGGGGTGATCTGGAAAGGTCCGTACTCACCCTCCCCCCAGCCCAGGCCCCCACAAAGTCGTGGCTCCTGGGAACGTGACAGACAGCGGGTTTCTTCGGACTGGAGATGCGGAGGACCCAGGAGGAGCTGGACCGACCCGGCGGGCGCTTCGGGGCTCGCGGGGACGCCGGGGCCCAAAGCTCTCGAGACACACCTGCAAGACGGCTGTAGCAGCGAAGTGCCCAGCCCCAGGCCGAGCGGGAACCGGAGCCCAGCCCTGCTGCCGAGAGCTGCTGCCTCTTGCGCACTCCCGTAATTCGTTAATTGCTGTAAATCCCAAGGACGGCCACATTTGATTACACATACAGTATAAGAACCGACAACAAAGCGACGAATTAATTACCAACTTCATTAACATAGGTCCCCAAATTAAAGGCAGCGAGCTGTTTCCTTGGGCCCACTTGCCGTGGTGGCGGTGGTAATGGTGGTGGGTGTGGGGGGCGGCGTTTACAAAGAGATTTTATTTTATTTTATTTTCTGCTCTGGGAGTTGTGAGGGAAAAGCTGTCTTCTCCCCCCACCCCCACTCCACCCCCATTTACACACACTCAGCAGTTGGGTTTGCCCCCCACCCCCTAATACTCCGCCCAGTCTGTTTCTGCTTTTCTAGGAAACACGGATTCGTGCGAAAGCTGTCGGGTCCTCGATTCTAGACCCGGAAAAAAAGAATTGAGGGGGTTCCCGGGTCCGGATGGTCAGGGATGCATCCCAGCCTCCCGGCTTTCAGCCCCAGACTCCGAAGGTTCTATCCCCAGACTCGGAGGCCCCCCCGCCACACTCGCACCCGGGAGGCTAGAACGAGCCCTCCTTTCCCCCCAGCCAGCCTTGGGGTTAGATTTGTGAGTTCCCAATCTTTGCTCTGGGCTTCTTGAATTGAAAAATCCTGCGCAGAAACTCTGAGCTCCTGGACCAAGGGGTATTTGTAAGGGGTTAAAGAATAGGGAGGGCCCTGAGCTTTTCCGCGTAGTTTGTTCGCGGTCTCCTCTCAATGTCTGCACCTCAGTCCCGGGCCTCCTTCCTTCCTCCTCTCTGCTCTCAGCGCGGTCTGGCCCAGTTTAAGAGGACACACTCGTGTTTTTAAGCCTCAGTCTGGGTTTGAGTTCTGCCACGTATTCGTTGCTAGTATTGGCATCGAAAACCCAGTTAAATGCCCCTCCCACCTTTCTCCAGACTTGACTGAAAAAAATTTTTTTTTTTTTTTTTTTTTGTCTTTTTGAGACAGGGTCTCCCAGTAGGCCCAGCTGGCCTGGAACTCACTATGTAGACCAGGCTGGCCTTGAACTCACAGAGATCCGCCTGCTTCTGCCTCCCGAGTTGACTTAAATATTTTTATTTTCCTGTCTTACATTGCTTTGATGTTCTTTCTCCCCCTTCTCTAAAATAAAAACAAAAAAGAAAGAGGAACAGGAAAAGAGTGTAAAGGACTAAAAAGAAGAGAAGGTCAGGGGAGGCCTTCCTGTCCATCATTTTAATTGTACAATTAGTTCACATGCTCCGGCCCATAATGTATATTTTAAGCTCAGCCCAGTGTTTTTCAAGAACATTCTGGTAATGTCGGAGGCCTGGATTTGTTGCCTGCTCGTCCCCCCGTGCAGCAGAGGCCTGTTTTCCTCCCCCTGTTGTGTGTTTTTATTATTTTCCCTCTGGCTTAGATGTGTCAATCATTCTCTCCCTGCCATTGGTTGGAGAGTTTGCGTCAAAAAGTTGCCAGAGAGGCGCTTTCTCAGCAAATCTCCCTGAGAGCGGAACCTTCCTCAGCTCCAACTCAGTCTCCACTGCTATTAAAAATAAAAGTCGCTAGAGCAGCTCTCACTCTCCACGTCTACTTTGTATGTATCGTAGGGGAACACACGCTTATTTACAACTCAGGCCATTTCATTTTATGTTCTCTAAAAAAAAAATTTTTTTTTTGGTTGTGTTTGACTTTTTGTGGAAGGGTGAAGAGGTTTTTAACTCAATATTCTTGATTTCTTTTAGGATAGCTGACTATTTGGAATTTTGAAGGATAATTGGTTTTTTTTCTTTTCTAACCTCCAATGCGGCTGTAAGGTAAGTGTCCATCTGTCTTGTCTATGCGGTATCTGTGTGTCCTGTCTGCCATGATCCCCGCACCGCCAATAGACCTTCTCATGCAACTCTGCTAACGTGGAGGTCTTCTGAAGGCCGATGTATTTTTTTCTAGTGAGAATTTTGAGGTGAAATAATGACCGTTACAAAAAATTGACTATCTGTAGAAGAGGGCGGGAGTGGGAGGGAAAGAGAGAAAGCTCCCGGGGGTCGCCGCCACTGCAGAACGTCTAATCTGAGTCTAATCTGAGTCTAATCTGGGGTGTTGTGGAGGGGTTTTGTTCGTGGTTTTGTTCTTGGGTCCATACTATTCATGGCTTCTCAGTACGGTCTTTGCGTTTTGCGACCCCCCCGCCATTCCCCTAGGTTTAGTGGGAGAGCTCTGGATCGATCCCAAGGACGTTTTTCAGAGTCCATGTCAGACCGATGCAAAGGTAGCCAGATTGGTAGATTAAAACAATAAGGTAGGCGCTTCCTAAGGCCGGAAGCCAGGCTCCTGTACGAGTCGGCGGGGGCCGCGGGTTGCCGATCGAGCCTCCAGTCTGTGCCCAAGTAACGCGAGGGGAAACCTGAGCTGATAACCGGGAAGGCGGGAGAGCGCAGGCGGAGGGTCCTCGCTGCGCTCCCAGATCTCTAAGATCTCGGTCCCCTCTTCCTCAGCGTAGAGCTGCTCTGCTCTCTGCCTCTCCAAAAGCCTCCAGTCCCCTCACTCTTTCGCATCACCCTCCCACCCCGAATCTCTAGGGGTGCAGTTCTTCCACCCTCGCCGCCGCACATGGTCACCGTGGTCCCTGGCTCGGGTCACCGGACTGAGGCCGCTCGTTAGACTGGGTTTTCAAGGTGGCTGTGCCAGGTGATCCGGGCCCGCCCTCCGCAGCGCTCCGCGCGCACCTGGTGCGGTCAGAAGTGGCGGCCAGGGGCCCCGGCTGCTCTGGAGTCAGAGACCCGGGAATCCTTCCACTGGGGACCTCGGCTGTTCTGGGACTAGGTACCGGCAGACTGCTGCGCGCTCTTGTGCTGTCTTCCCAGGCTCGGGGACAAAGAGAAGGGTTGGGTTAAGGCCGGCTGGGGATGGAGGGGTTCGCCGAGGCCCAGCCTCTGCGCTCGGCCTGCGGCGGGAGAGCCATCCGAGGTCCCTGCCAGCACCCGGCCTGGGCGAGGCGGCGCGCGGCAAACTCCGAGGAAGTCGCAGAGCTGTGCTTTCAAGTGACTATTTTAAGCCCAAGGCCGGTTGCAGGAGCCTTTTTTTTTTTAAACCCAAGAGCTTGGTCCGAATCCGTCCTTTACGGAGAAGCTGCGTGCGGAGAGAAGGCCGGGCTGCGTGGACCTGCAGTGGCGGATCAGTTGGGGAGGGGATTGGGCGAGATGACTCTCATCCCTGAAACTCTGCCTTCCGTCGTAGTGCTTCGGGGATCACCATTTCTCCAGTACACCTCGGAACTCTACCCCCCCCCCG